ATCCAACTTCTCGGTGTGCGTGTGTCTGTTTGAGAAGGAGGGGGAGGGAGAAGAAAAAGAATGAAGGAAAACTTATTTCGCAAGGGGGAAAATGCTGTCACTTTAAATCGGAACTGAGCATGCCTAGCTGTGGCCTTCTGGGAGTTGAAGTCCACAAGTCTAAAAAAATTTGAAACCCCTGTGTCAGTGCCTCACCAGCTATAAACCTCACTGCACGTCACTGTATGACACAGAGAAACAACACAGTCTAGTTCGGATGTATAAATGTACATGGCGAGAAAAACAATCAAATACTTGTTGCAAGTATTTAGATTTCTACCATTTAACACAAAAATAACCCATTACTAACACTCTCAGTTTCACTTGATGGAACTGTGCTTTTAACATCTTCCTCTCACTGAGTATGTTCACAAGTCCAGTCTAGAATGTAGACTGACTAACTTGAAATAATTATGATGATGTCATTGTTTTAATGTTTTCTAAACAGCATGAGGGATGCTAGGAAAAAGAGTTATAATGTGGCTAAAATATTATCATGTAGATAAAAATTATCATGTAAATGAAAATTGCCTGCCAGTATAAATGACAATAATTGCCCTACCAGTTAAAACAAAATGGCTCCTTTGATATATTTTCTGGTGAGAATTTCAAACAGATGAGGAATTGAGCCTAATAAGACAACTTCTATCTAGCAAGGTGATGTTAAAGATAAAATTTGAGCTGGAAACATCCCAGAGCTTACACTACAACAAACTTATAGCCCTCTAGCTGAATTAGTGTATAACTGACACCCAACAGTAAAGATATTGGGAGTTGTAATTCATCCCATGCTTACTGTATAATTTACAGCACAGTACATTAGTTCTATAGTTTTAAAATTAAATTGGTTTAATTATGAAACAGATGATTTTTCATAGTGTAATGTAAATGGAATTATTCAGTTCGCATTTCCATTTAGGCCCAAAATGGGATTTTATAGGTTGAAAATAAAATGTGATGCTTGATATTATATGACTGGTTGCAATGTATGTAACAACACTACTACTTGAGTACAATTACAGATATGAAAATGCAAGAGTAATAGAGCCAAAAACCAACCTGCTTGCTTAGTGTGTCCCACTGGGATTGGATGTCTGTCTGTTTGGATTTGACCCAAGCATTAACGGGCTGGCCTCTTAAAGAAGAATCTATTTCCTTCATCTCTATTAGAGACAACTCAATTTTTTCCATTTCAATAATGAACAGCTGTTCATAAATGAGAAAACATATTTTAATATCTATTTCCAAAGATGCAACTTGATATGTTGCTTATTTCTGAGACACTTTTATGGATTTCACAGACTTATTATTACCGTACGTTTGGAAAAAAATAATTAACAAAATAATTTAGTATATAGAAACAGAGAGAAGGGGGGAGGGGGAGAGAGGGAGGGAGGAAGAGAATGAGGATACAACATGTTTTTTACATCATATTAACCAGAGGTGAGCAACTCCTTAAGCACACTTTACACTCTAATATTAAACCACCAAAATTTGGTGGCAAAATCACCATTTATTAATGATAGCATTTTTGTCCTTGTAAAATTTAAGGATAAATGGTTACTTAAACCTTGGATTGTTTAAAAAAAAATTCTGGATGCACATAACATGCTTAATGATAAACGATCATTGCGCTCTACATGGGGCTGCCCCTGAAGAGTGTTCGGAGACTACAATTGGTCCAGAATGCAGCTGCGCGAGCAATATTGGGTTTACCCATGTCACACCTATCCTCCGCAAGCTGCACTGGCTCCCTATTGGTCTCCGAACATGCTTCAAGGTGCTGGTTATTACCTTTAAAGCCTAGAACCTGGATATCTCCGTGACCGCCTCCTGCAACATACCTCCCAGCGCCCAATAAGATCGCACAGGGCAGGCCTTCTCTGAGTACCGTCGACTACGCAGTGTCGTCTGGTGGCTCCTTGGGGGAGGGCCTTCCCTGTACTGCCCCGGCCCTCTGGAATGATCTACCCCCTGAGATCCGGACCTTCCCCACTCTCTCGGCCTTCCGTAAGTCTGTTAAGACCTGGCTGTTCC